CTGCAAATAGTGAAATCGACAGCAATTAGAAATTGGCTACTTGCTCTTTGGCTAACATAAAAAGCAGCAACAGAGTTTAAAACAAGCTTTGCCCACATTCACAAAAAGAACAAAATCAATGCTTAAAAACCCTGAAGAACATAAAGCCATAATTTCAAAACTTCCGAACCAGACTTTAAAATATGATAACCACTAAGCCATGGCAAACATTTAGCTAAAGCAAAGCACACCAACCCCCAATCATTATGCCTGATTGCTACCACCCCTTGGACCCCTGTCCATCCGTCCACGGCCACGTCCATAGCTTAGGCTCAACTCCACCTATGCACCTACTGTGTTTCAACATAAAAAATTAAAAAAACTACAAAAATGTTACAGCAACTCAAATGAATTCCTAAATTCTGGCCATTTCATAGAGATGGCAATGAACATGACACTAAAAATCTTGTCCACTAGAAACAAGCTCTCCATAAGATAACAGAGCCATCATTGTGAGAGAAGGTAAAGAGAGCATCAATTCATGTCAAACACTAATTTCTTTTCTGCAAAAAATTAAAAACCTTCCGGGAATAACAGTCAACCTCTGAACCTCATACAAGAAAGTCACTTTTTTCCAAAATCTAATAGAGCCAATCTTTTACCACAACATTAATTTTTAGTACAACGGTAAGTAAACCTTATTATTATTATCAAAGAACCTATGTTGGCATACTCACACATTAGGGGAAACCAAGCCAGGTTTGCCACTACTTCCAGTTTCAAACACTATTAATAACTTCACATAGGACATAGCAGAAAATGATATCAAATAGCAAGTCCATCAGGCAGCAACTAATTCCCCCCACTTTGTAGAAAACAAGCAACTACTTGCTCATAAGGTGCAGGTGCACATTGCCACAGCAAATTATATATATACATATATATATATATATATAACAGAATTCACAATAAGGTTCACCTTCAGAATAATCAAGTGATTCACAGCAATGTAAAGTTATGATATGTTTAATCAAACCAGAAATATTTACTTATAAAAAACATGTATTTGATAGAACCAGAAGCCAATGAGCAGGCAGCTAAATGCTAGCCACTAGACACTTAAAGAACCTAAAATAAGAAGACAACTTTATTGATGGAAAAGATTACAACAAAAACAAGAGAGGGTGCACAAGCATCATAGCGAACAAATGGATCCCAACTAGGTTGGCATCCAAACGCACGCCCAATCATATGCTAGCACCCCAGGAAGTTGATGAGGAACCAAACTCCACAACACTACACAACAAACCGATTACAACACCAAAGTAACAAAGCAAATGACCCAATTGAACTGCCCCAGTAACAGCTACAGCAACTGATTAACAGATCCAAAGCAATAGAGTCAGATCAGAACAGCAAGCTGAAGAAAAATAGAGCAACAGCCAGAACAAACCAGTAGCAGAGCTCACACAAATTAGCAGCACCACACATGAATGAAGTAACAGCAACAGCAACAGATTAATAGATCCAGAGCAACAAAGTCAGAGCAGAACAGCAAGCTGAAGAAAATAAAGCAACAGCCAGAGCAAACCAGCACTAGAGAGAGAGAGAGAGAGACAGAGAGAGAGACAGAGAGAGGAGGTTCAGAAAATGAAATGGCAGCCTGGTAGGGAATCAAATTAATAGGAGGAACCTCAACGAGAACGGTCACATTCAAGATTGTCGCTTTTTAAAATCAGGAAAAAAAAAATGTTATGTTCCTAGAAAAAAACACTATCTGGAATTTGTAATTTCTTATTGTGAAGGTCACACAGAATGAATCTAATCACTAAATTTCAAAATTTTGAGTACTTTTCTAATACATATCCTTCTTATTTTAAAATTGCCTTTTAAAATTACCAATCTGAATTTGGTTTTATGGAGCTCCAATAATCTAACTTTCTATGTCTCATCAAAAGGTTTTGAGAATTAATGAATTTGACAGCAGTGGTGGGGCAAGCTGACAGATTTTTATTTGGTGGGGATATTGAATTTTTTTTTGTGAAAGACAACATTTTTAGGGGTTCAAAATCAGTAAAATTTGAGGTGCATGACACAAGTCATATATGGACTCACTTGAGAGACTTTGCAAAGGGGTTTTTAAGTGAGAAATTACGGCTTGCATTCATTGTATGTCGTGGATGTGGTGCCGTGAAAAGTCAATTTTGTTGTAGTGAAAGGCTGTAGCATTCATAGTTGAATGATCAACTCAAAAGCATTCATTAGTGTTCTCCAATTGCTAAGCACATTGGCTCCAGCAATAGTTTGGTTATTTTATTTTTATTTTTAAAAGCCAGTAAAGGCGTACATAAAGATATAGCAAATATATATTTGCAGGAAATGTGATTAATATTTGTTACTTACGTTATTTTAATGTTGCATGGGAATACATTCATCGTACACATCACCACGAATAAAAGCGAAAATAGGAAAGGACAGATATACGTAGAATACAGGATTTATGTGACTATACATGCTCCCAACAATGTTTCCAAGTGAAGCAAAAGAAAGAGTCAATCATCTATTTCTAATGACCTAGCATACTTCATCCTTTGTGTTTAATAAAACCTTCAAGAGTAATCATGACAGATAACAGGCATGTAACACAAATAGTCTAAAATCCTATATATATAACCAAACTTGTAACATTATGATTGACGAGCAGTTTTGTTTGTAATATAAATTATTTTTACATAGTTATGGCTGCCTTTTGAAAATCAACAAAATCATAAAGCTTACCATTTCCAACATATAAAGAGAGAATATTAATGAGACCAAAGAAACACAGGTAGGCAAATATACAAGTAAATGTGTACAATTTTATAATTTGTGTAGTACTACTCGAGATATAATATCAATGCATCTGTTTATATTCTGGTTTGCGAAAATTTTTCAAAAACCAAATTCATAAAACTCAACCAAATAGATTTGATTCCCAACATTACTAGCAGTGAGGCAAAACCAAAATATAAAATTCACACATTAAAAAAGTAAGGAAAGAAGAGCATGTACATGCAATGAAACAGACCAGGTTTTTCTCTTTAAACATAAGTGAATAATGCAGCAAGCAAGCAAACAATAACAAGGAAGGTGATACCACAGAATCGATTCAATAAATCACCAAATATAACTATCTTTAAACAGAATCAAGCATGTTTTGGATTTATTTTTTAAAGAAAAAAAACAAAGGTTAGTTCCCCAACTATATGATCCGCTAAGACAATAAATCATACACCTAAAATCGAATTTAAATATGGTCATAACGTAATCGTGAGTCGTGAGTGAGAGATGCAGAATCAAGTATCAGATTTACAAGAGAGAGAGAGAGAGAGAGAGAGAGAGGGTCTGGAAAAACTCAAGAACGTGAGTTCATAATCAAATGATGACGATAAATAAAATAAAAAAGTAAACAATGATAGAAACGAATCAGAGATTGATCGCTGGTAAATTACCGCAAAACCTGAATCTGAAGGGACTGCGGGCGGCGACTCCTCCTCCTCCTCCTCCTCCGCTCTTTCTATCTCCCTCTCTCTCTCTCTCTCTCTATCTATCTATCTGTATATCTGCTTCTTGCAAGGGAGGGAGTGAATGGATGGGTTTAGGGTTTGTGTGAGTCGTTTGGTTTGGGTTTTAAAGTAAAGTCACGCGGTTTGTCCAGCGAAGAGTGAGGTATCAACAAAGACTGATAAAAACAAATAGGAACTAATTATCACACCATCAATGCACCACCACCACCAACAATTGAAGATCTCCAAGAGGCTTAAAAATTTAATAATGATATATTATTTTTATTACAAAAGATTAATATCGATATATTAACCATATATGTCGTACACATGCCAAAAAATATTATTCCAAGAGTCGACTCAATTGAAGATCTCGTAGTCAATTCATTGTTATATTGTTAAATAACAAAGACTGATATGGACAACCATTAATGTACTAATTAGCCGTGTGTCCTATACGCGTGAATAATTTCAATAAATATTATTCCAAGACTCTTTTTTTTTTAGTATTCTCAACATCCATGCATAAAAAGAAAAAAAATCAATAAAAGTATCTCAATGGTACCACCACGTAAACAATATCACAGGTATTCACGAAATATCTAATAATTTTTCTTATTGTACAACATGTGATTTGTGACTCGTAAAAATTCGAGTTTTACTTTAACATAGTGTTTGGTTCACTAGAATGAAATGAAATAGAACGATCATTCCATCAAAATATTCATTTTCATATTTGGTAGATTAAAAAAATAGTAATAAAATACATTATAAATAAAAATAAAAAGGTTGGGACCCCCTTTTTGAGAAACCTCCACCACCCCCAATGCATTGTGATTGGTCAACTTTTTATTTTTTTTTGCTTTTTTGTCCTCTTATCTCTGGCTGACATGTGTTTGTAGGGGTTGTGGAGATTAAAAAAAAAAAAGAGTTTGTATTATTTCTGTAAATAAAATCATCATTGACCATTTCAAGAGAATGATCATTCCATATAAGAGCTTAAAAAATTATCGTATTATTTCATTCCAATGAACCAAATAAATAAGGATGATTTTAAGTATCCGGCAAGATTAGCGGGAAAATAACAGAATGACACGAGGAAGAGGAAGAGATGCGTATGAGAAGGAACACATACATCATGCTTCCACCATGTACTAATTTAATATAACCATATAGACTTTCAACAACACTACTCTTTTGTAAATCTCGAACTGAGCTGCAACAGTCGAGAACAATTACGAGGCAAAGTAGAACACGGCATAAGCACTTGAAAAAATTATTCAGGATTTCACCTATAACTGATATACGCGGATAAAGTTCATTACCTACAACACACTAACTTTAAATATACATCATAAATGTTTCATTTTCAATGTTGAAATTCTGGTTAAAGTTTTCATGCTATCTTCTATCTAGAATTATTGCTTAAGGCAGATAACAAAACTAACACCAGGTACAACCCACACAAAATTGAAATAGTTAGATACTAATACCAAACAAAAAATATATATCCATCATCAAATTCAAGTTCTGAGAATGTACAAAGTAATAGGGGAAGAAACAACAATTGATCCAGCTCTGAAACAATGTGGCCCCCCAAGGACAAATAATATGACAGAAACAACTAGAAAACAGGACAAGGTTCAAATTCACAATTGGAAAGCGATACAAACCAGATATGTGGGGCCTCCAATGGTCACAAGTCACTAGGGAATGTATGTCATGCTTAGAGATATAGATAAAGAGTAAAGTAGAACCAGGCAAGTTAGCACCATCGCATGATTGCTACCTTTATAGCTACATCAAGAAGCGATCTCACATGGGCATCGTTCCTCTTCCCCAATTTTGTCTTCTCAGCCTCTTTGAATGTTTAACTTTCTTCTTTCCTCTTAAGAGGCAATTTTTGAGACATCTTTGCTTGATCTGTTGGATTTCATGTGGCTCTTGACAAGCTGCCCAGCTGCAATGGCGGACATCAAGGAGAGCTCCCCTGCCAAAACTGAACCAGCTACTATGGTTGCTAAAAGCCTTGAGTTCGATCTTGGGGACTCCTTGCTTGCACCTTTCACGCCAAGAAGGTTCAGGCAAGCCGATTGAGATGCAAGTTGAGTCCCACCTCCAACTGTGCCCACCTAGAACAAACAAAAAACCAAATAAGTTACAGTTATAGATAATGGTTTAAGAAACTCAAACAGAAATACAGTTCAATATTCTGAATACATTCTGGTTCCCTAGAAGTAAAAAATATAAGTAGCAATGCTTCACAATTAGTTGCAAAATGAAGTAATAGTGTAACAGAAAAGCACTCTGCCTTAAAGGTCCACAGATGAGGCTGCACAATGCTTGCAGCAAAACAGCACAGAACCAAACAAACAAAAAAACACCGATATTTGGTCAAGATGGCAATACAAGCAGTGCATTGGATTTCCCTACTCCATTCTGAAAACAAACCATTCCTATTTCATCTATTCAATCCACAAAACACTGATTTCCCAAAGAAAATCTCATCGTCAGCCCCAAAAAACTCTCAAACTGTAACCCTAGATTCACATCGCCTTACCACCGTCATTGGCCACTGCTATTCCACTTCATCTCACCACTGCGAAGGTTTACATCGGAAGGAGGGTGGTTCGTTGTTCCGTGTTTCCCGTTGGTTGACTGAGTGTGGTCCATCGATTTCCATACCCACCCACAATGAGGAACAAAAGTAAGCAACATCATTCCACCTTCTGTTTTTCAGTCATAATGTGATCACCGATGTATATATTTACATTGCCTATTACTATTGTTATTTTTGGATTTGATTTTGTAAACATCAATGATGTAAACATTCACATTACTATTCAGTAATGGATAAACACACATTAGATCAGTTAGTGAGTAAATATTCAAACTGTGACATCAATGTCAGACTTGTTAGTGTTGTTGGTTGTTGATGGTCATGAAATAATCAAAGTCCAAACTATGGATGGTTGTCAATCTTGTTTTGGTTACATGTGAATTCTTGTAGGCATGTTGTAAATAATAACATCATATTATTTCACTTGTTATTGATTAACATCAATGTCAATATGCACATTGTAAACATAATGTCAATAATTACATTCTGAACATAATGTTAATATTCACATTGTAATATTCTGAACATAATTTTAATATTCACGTTGTGAATATAATGTTAATATTTACATTGTCACATTCACATTGAATATTCACACCATATATTTGGCTATGAATATTCACAGTCAAACATATAAGTGCGATGATGTGAAGATTAACATTGTGTATACGTCGTGTTAGTTTAATAGTTGTAATGTGTGACTGTTCTCACATCTTCATGTGAATGTTGGTTTGTCATGTGCTATCACATCTTCATGTGAACATTTGCACCAGCTATTCACATACTATTTCACCATCACCATCCCATTATTCATATGGCATATAATAATTTACACTTATTATCACTATTCACTTGTGAACAGTAATATTAAATTTGTTTGTATTTGAACAAGCAGGTCTTTCCTATAGATTTGATGGCAAAAGAAAGAGAGAGGAATCCCGTGCCAAAGGCAAACTCGATCAAACAGCTAGTTCCTAACAAGTGAACATGAAAAATGTCAACTACCGGTCAAATATTGTGACGACCCAAACCCGTCCTTAAGGGGTTAGCGTCATAACCGGCCAGTAATCCATGATTACCAAAGGCCTGTTTTACAATAATGACAATAATACAATATAAAGGGGCAAGCGGAAGCCAATCAATAGTAACATACATCGTCCAATGAGCTGTGAGGACCTGAATGGAAATAAACTTTCATATACACATATACCAATGCACACATAAGTCCAAGTCTATGTCTAACACATATATAAAAGCTTAAGTCCAAAACATCCAAGACATGTTAGGGAGTAAAACCCCAAGCCAAAAACAAAATGTAAAACATTTACTTAGACATTAAACAACTCTCCAAAAAGGGCGGAAAAAGATCACCCAAAAAGCCTTAACAACACGTTGTTTGGTTTTAATTTTTTTAAAAATTAATTTTTTTATTTTTCGTGTCTTTTTATTTTTAATAAATATTTTTAAAAACTTAAATAATTTTTTTATTTTTTTAGATGCACTTTACTCAGATGTATCTAAAAAATAATATTTTAAAAAATCAATAAATACATAAGAATATGAAAAATGTATTAAATTTTCGTATTTTTTTTTATATTTTTGGTATTTAGTAAATTTTTTAAAGATTTCTTTTATAAATATTATATTTTATAAGTGTATTTATGTTAGGTGTATCTAAAAATTAAAAAACATTGCTTAAAATATTAAAAAAATTTAGTAAAAATAAAAAAATTAATTTTCTGAAAAATAAATCCTGAATTATGAAACCAAACAAAATATAGCTTAGTTGGTCAGAGTCTAGATGCAAGACATTCCCCCCTCTTCAGGTTATGGCCTTTGATGTACCAAAATAAATAAATAAACATGACTCGACTTGCTACTAACATTCCAAGCTCCTGCAAGATTTTTTGGATGGTGATATTTTTAACCATTAGTTATGCAATAATGCTACAATGACTAAATTTGGAATGAAATGTAATACATCAGTAACACATTAAATGATATTCAAAATTTGATGGCCATATATAAGGGAAGAGTCACAGTCAGAGAGTGTTGGTGGGATATACAATAGTTGAGCCATTTTGAAGCCAGTGGCTAGGGTTTAAGGTCACTCAGGGAAAGGGGGTCCCAAATACAATACAACATGTTCTGTGCCATGCTGACACTACTGGTGCTGCTGCTGCTGAGCCCTGCATATGCATTTCATGGCACCACAATACATACATACATACATACATACATATATATATATATATGTATATATATATATATATAATAGTGAATCTTTACCTTTTCGTGGTTACGGATGAACCCTGATCTGGAAAGCCCACCAGGTAATATTTGTTACTGCCATGACTTGTCCACTGTGCACATATACCTTCCTTCAGCTTCGGGCTTCTCATATTCCAATAGCAGTGCTTCAGCTACATCTCGTACATCTACTATCATCCTCAAATTGTTTTCGAATTCATTATATCCCTCTGTAAATAACAGGATTGCGAGAAGTCAGGACATCAAGTGCTACAGTTTTCACTGACAAACCATTTTCAAGAAGAAAAAACTATATACCAGATGACTAGTAATAAGCAACGTATTGATGAAGTCATGGCACAACTTATGAAAAATTATGCACTGCTTGAGTGCCTTTCAAGTGCGCTCTGAGCAAGCCTCTGTGGGCTCCCATTATGCAGAAATCCCAGCACCCTGCTCAAGCACACTTTCAAGTGGGCATCAAGAGCAGCTCTATGGACTTCTGTGAAGTTGAAATGTCACCACATTTCTTTAAACCTAGGGCTCTAGACTTATGCAGAGCTCCCAGGGGGCACCTCGCTCGAGCGTTCTTCGATCGGTGCCCTTGGGACTTGCCCAATTAATCTTGTATTGAATAGTTTCCGATCATAAAGACCACAAGACTAAGCATAAGTTATTCTAGTCAAACTATGACATGAAAAATTCATTTGCATGATGTCATCTTGAATACTGTCATGGAATCTGTGAAAATCCAAATCATCTATAAAAATTTCTACAAAATGTTAGTTACCTCAATTTATTTGGCTGTGGAGCTCACTAGGTTGGAATGTTAAGTATTTGCACGTGCCTTCTCTTCCCATTTTATTTTTTTATTGCATCTTTCTTTTACTTTTTTCCTGTGTGTGTATTTTCAGGGGTGGGGGGATTGGTTCCACAAGATTGATATCCAGCTTCAAGTGTTCCATTTAAGTGCAACCAAAGTTGACATGCTGTTTCAACATCAACCCACATCCAACGCTTTAACATTTTTGCTTTTTTGAAGAAAGCAAAAACGCAGCATGTGTTTGCACAACATTTATTTGTGCATCCGTACACATCAAATTATACACATGAATGAGTATGATTATCTGTACGTATACATGTACATTTATTATTTATGCATGCTTTTATGACCACTTATATGCCTATAAGTTCTCACATAAGTATTATACATACCTTTATGCCTATATACAAATTTATATATTTATATATGCATATTTTTCTACATAGAGATGCATCGTAAGTACTTTTATCCATACATATATGCTACACATGTCTTACTAAGGCTTGGTTTGGCATAACTAAAAAATGCCAAAAGTCAAAAAGTCACTATCTTATTTCAGTCACATCATCTTATTTAAGTCACATCACCTCTCTACCACATCACTTCAAACCCAACCCATATCCAACCCATATTTCATAAAAAAGTCAAAAGTGCACTTATTTAGTTTATCCCAAACAATACCTAAATTGATTTTTAAATGTATCCATACCTAATTGTACATTATATGACCACATGCTGTTATCAAAAGTAATTTCATATGCATATTAATGAAGATCATGGAAAGAAAAAAAATAGCAAATCTGGAATTTTACATGAAACACATTTAGGACATCAAGAATTAAATATTTGGAATAATTTCAAGTCTTCATATCATTATAGTATGTTTTAGTAATTAAGGGTATAATGGTAATTCCAACAATTGTTGAACATAGGTTGTAGGGGTCGCCCATGGGTTTTATTTTGGGTCAAATTATTAAATGGGTCATTATATATGGGTTTTATTATGTCTAAAATAATTTTAGTAGTCAAAAGTTCAAGTTTTCTATTTTGATATTGGAGTAGAATTAGAAATCATTACAGTTTCCTATTATGATTGAAGTAGAATTGGAAATCATAGTTGATCTAGATCTAGAATATTAGTAGTTGTTAAATATTTTTAGTTTCTATTTGATTTATAGTCCTTATAGAATTAGGAGAGTTGTTAGCCTATAAATGTATGTGTAATCTCAATGATTGAGGAAAAAGAGTTAATATTATGAAAATTTAAGATTGTATTTGTGTGATTGGCATATTTTTTATGAGGGTGAAGCACCTTTCTCTCTCTCTTTTCTTCTTCTTCTATCCAGCAAGATCACTGTTCACATCACTATTCACAGTGCTTAGAACAACCACCTAACAGCCTCTAAACACTTGTTTTTTCATTCCCAACACCCTACCCCTTTACAAACCCTTAAACTCCTATATTTTTAAATACTTTTGTAGTCACAAACTCCCACCAAATCTGGCCCTATAAATCTATTATTATTGCTGCTAGTATAGTTAACCCGGGCTCACTACTTGTAGGAAAGTTATAGCGATCCCGGGTTTACCCTTGTTGTACAGTGATCCGGACATGTGTCCGTGGATGATAGTAGTTGATTATTACCTGGTGTACATCCTTTCTTATTTTGTATTTGACTTATAGGATGTGTTGGGCAGATTTGTTGCAGGTTGGTTGAGATTAGAAACCAAAACTAGTTGCCCAGATTCTGACCTGTCCGCTCGAGCGGGGGTTTTGGCGCTCGAGCGGGAGTTTCACCCCTCCAGTATTTCCTGTGCAGTGTTTGACGCTCGAGCGTGGGATTGGCCGCTCGAGCGGGATTGTGTGAGTGCCGCTCGAGCGGGGAGTTGGAAGCCCGAGCGGGAGACTTGTCTGCAAAAGTTCTGGGAGTGTGTATCCGCCGCTCGAGCGGGATTGTTGATGCTTGAGCGGGAGTCGGTGAGTGACGCTCGAGCGGGGAGTTTGACACTCGAGCGGGGAGACTTTTATACAAAGCCGACATCCGACCTTTTTGTTCACTTTTCAACATCCTTTCTCTCTCTTACTTTTTCAAAAAGCTATTTTGAGAGTTCCTCACACTAGAACCCTAACTTCTCTCTTAGGATTGATCTAGTAGGAATTGTTTTCTCACCTTGGGCCTTTACAAAAGTTGTGTTGATCGTCGAGGGCTGTCTTTTAATCTGAAAATTTCAGGATTTGGAGCATTTCCGTTTCTTCATCTCCGTCGTTGGGTCCCATTATTTGAGGTAGGGATAACCTACTCCATCTTATGAACTTTGTCTTTGAATTTTAGCATTTTGATATGTTGGGGGTTTTTGGGTAATTTTGAGAAAGTTTAGGCCTTTGTGCAGTTTTACAAAAGTTGGGGTTTTAATCATATAAAACCTAAATGCATGTTTGGCATGGAAAAGTGAAATTAATGTTAAAACATTAATGAAAATGGAACCTAAGAGTTGTGATGTTAATTATGGAATATGCCCTAATTACATTGGTTAATTAATTTGTATAATTAATTGTTGGAAATGAGGAATTGTATTGAGAATGTTGAAATGTTGATATATTATCCATTTTGTGCATTTATTTCCTGCTTAGAAATAATTGCTTTGGGCTACCGGTGGAGGGTAGTGTTGATTGTTGTAGACAATGCATGAAAATTAGGTAAACTAAAACTAATCAATTGGATGTGTCATAGAGTATGACGGTTGATAGAATACATTAACTTTATGTATCTATGGATTGTGCATGTGACCAATGTGTTTATATGCATTATGTGTAGACGATTGATAGAATACATTAATTTTATGTATTGATTGATTTCATATGTGATTCTGTGTTTATATGCATTACTTGTGTATTGGAGGAGATGGGGGATGTACTCCACGGTTTAGGGGAAGATGGGGGATGTACCTCTGAACCGGTTAATGGTTTAGGGGAAGATGGGGGATGTACCTCTAAACTGGTTAATGGTTACGGGAAGATGGGGGATGGACCGAGGGATGCAGCTCATATGCTCACCCATTGTAGTATTGGAATGTTGATACAGCTCATATGCTTATCTATTGAAGTGTTGATACAGCTCATATGCTTATCTATTGAAGTGCTGATACAGCTCATATGCTTATCTATTGGAATGTCGATACAGCTCATATGCTTATCTATTGTAGTATTGATACAGCTCATATGCTTATCTGTTGAAATATTGATATAGCTCATATGTTTATCTGTTGTAGTAGTGATATAGCTCATATGCTTATCTGTTGTAGTAGTGGTATAGCTCATATGCTTATCTACTGAAAAGTTTGTTTGATTTGATATAGCACTAAAATGTATATCATCATTGTTTGCGATGTATGGAAGTAGTTTATGTGTTATTGATACAACACCAAAATGTGTATCCACCTTGGATTTCGAAAGTGTTCTAGTGATGAGTTATAATCTCATCAAATGTTTTGGCCAGAGTACTGAGCCTTGTTTTCAAACTCAAAGTTGAATAAGAAATGAAAAGTGAATTGTAACATAGACTTGGCTGTCATGGAATTTTTATAAGATGTAATGGAAGTGTAAGTATTGACTATCTATCAGTTGCTAATCTTTTAGGCATTGTTCATAGTCGGTTAGGTATATGTCTACTGGGCTGTGGCTCACCCTATATGGGAACATCATTTTCAGGTACAGGTAGCACGCCACCTCTGAGGACTTAGCTTGGAAGGCTAGAGGCAGACATACTTTTGATTGCCTTATTCTTTCTTGATTGTATTACATATAGATTTGAGCCTAGAACTTAATGTGTATTTAAGCTAGCACCCTCTTTTGTAACCAAATGTTAATTAGAAAGCTGTAAGCCCGTAACGCATTTGCTTCTGTTGTAACCATGTAATACTTTTGTAATGAAATACTCTGATGAATAGATGAATGTGGACTTATATGTATCAATGCATGCCCCTATATGGATGGGTTTAATATTGTTATTTTGAGGGCGTTTCAAAAGTAATCCATACTCGTCCTACATTAGTTTGGTATCAAAGTGTCAAGATCCTATCTTGTTCGTTACCAATCTTTTGATGAAATTTCTTTCTTTATTACAATGTTGACAAGCATTGAATTAAATTTGAAATTTGAAGCCTCATCAACAAATTATAGAGTTACTAAGAAAGATATTGTGATGTTAAAGGAGGATTTTGGAATAATTAAGGAGGATATTGCAACAATAAAAAGTGATGTGCATACTATCCAGTCTCGCTTGTTAGAGACTTAGACGTAATGTTATGTACTTATGTGATAACATGTTTATGTGATTATTTGGGTATGGAATGTAGTTTCTTTGATGTTGATTGGATCCTTGGGTTTCTGGGAGTCCTGCTGGAAAGGCACTTGATCAATGTTGTTTCTGATCGGAACTCTAGTAACGCCTCGGGACTATCATTATCCGGAAATGAAATTCGTAAGTGCTTATGTGTTTATGTGCTTACGTGGAGTGAATTACAGTTGTCCATGTGTTAGGACGTGAGTGTTTAGCTTCGGCACATGTATGACTGTGCTAACGTGTCTCCATTACTTTTACTAGGATGCCTAGGCGAGAAAGTTGCCATTTCCCTCCTTCCGCTAGAGAAGAGCTGCGGAAACAGTTTGTGGAGTTACACCAAGGTACTACACCTTTGGTGCGGTTCGAAAGATGGTTCGCTAATCTATCGAGGTTTGCTCCAGAATTGGTGGAGACGGAGGACTTACGTTGTTTCGAGTTTGAGAGTAAGCTGCCTGACGACATCCGTGTAAGGATAGGGGGGTCTTGGCTTAAAAGGTATAGTGTGCTTGTTGAGGCAGCTGCCCATGTAGAGGCTGCGGTGCTAGCAATGGGGCAGAGTGGGGAGGAAGCCATCTCGGTGACTCCTGTGACTCAGGGTGTTGGTAGGCCTTTTAAGAGGGAGAGGGTTTTAAACCCGCAACAGGAAGGTCGGGCTAGAGCTACCCTTCCAGTATCGGATTTGGGTTCGGGAGAAAGTAAGCAGAGGGCATCATTTGTTTCAGATGTGGTCTGCTGGGCCACAAGGTTTCGGTTTGCCCACAGAAGAAGGGGGCAGGGTTAGCAGTTCAACCAGTAGTTGTACCACCAGGATCATCTAACCAGCCGGGTTTTGGACCGATCAAATGCTCAGTGGGGAGGCAGTTGTTGGGGTCTTCATCAGCCCAGATTCTGAACCAATCTCGTGCTCAGGCATTGCCTACCTGTTGGGTGTGTAATCAGCCAGGTCATATTCGACGTTTTTGTACTCAGCCGGGGGCTTCTTTAGGGGTTTTGCAACCTAGCCAGGCTCAGTTTCATTCGACTGGGCAGGAACAGTATCGTTTTAGGGGACTAGCAGGCCAGATTGTGAGGGCCTCAGTAGAGTCGAGTTCCCGAGCCCCAGTTGGGAAAGTTTGTAGTTGGGAAAGGTGTGGACAGAGGGGGCACGTCAGTAGTTCTTGTCCATGGCATGTAAACTCGTAGGTTATCTTATTTTCGGGGATGACCAACTTCGGCGGTCCAACAAGGGATGGTAGTAGTAGTAATACTGATGGGATGGTTTTGTTTTGACTAATCCGTTTTGTAATCAGTGGACTATTGTTTTGTGATCATTGGGTTCTGTTGTGTAACCAATATGTTTTAGGAATGTTGAAACATCTAAACTGTTTGTTTATCTATATATATATACATATATGCTTTGTTTGTTAATTTCTCTGGAGTGGGTGAATTGGAGCATGTCGTAGCTCTAAAGTTTTATTAATGTATAAAGTTGCTGTAAAACCAAAAAAAAAAATTTTATGCGTGTGACTTGATTTGGGAAGGATGAGGGCTGAGGAGCCATGTTTTCAAAATTTGGAAGAACCACCGAGGGGTGCGTGTCCTAGCCAAGGCAATATTGGAGTGAGAACTGTTTTACTTGCCGAGTGTGTGGAATTTCACGGGTATTACCCAATTAAAATTTTGTGCGTGGTATAGATTTTGGTCCACTGTCCGGTGAACTCGAGAGGATGTGAAGTGTGCGATTATTACTAGACATAACACGTATTTAATATGGTGTCCTACGGGGGCATAGCGCATAATTTTGTTGAGGTTGGACTTGTACCTTCGTGGTAAGTAACGTTGCCGAGATTGCAGGTGTACTGATTGGCCATTTTAAGTGAGGGGATGTTAGTCCCTATATAAGGTTGTGATTGTTGTATCGGGAGCGATGGGTTGTGAGTAGCTGGTACTATACTTCAGGCTGTAGTATAATGGGTGTTTCCCTAAGTTTTCAAATTCCTTTATTTGGATCGAATGTGATAGGTTCGTACCTTAGCACCGGTCAAGTCAGAGGATGTTATCAGAAGCGTTAATTGGGTATATAGCCCGTGGTTAGAGTGTGACCCGTGGATGGAGTCACAGTGGTATGGTGTTTGCGGATGAAGATATGGGTTAATGACGAGGGAGGCGAGGACTTTTACGCCTCTGGAAAGTTAGAAGAGTGAACCTTTGGAAGCCTTATCGGCGACTTGTAACGGTGTCGGGGTTTGGTTCATGATGGTTGCCTAGCGGTAGTTTGGACTGTGGTTTAGCACGGAGGCCGGGCCTCTTGATGGTACTCTCGAAATGAGTGACAAGTAAGATGTAGAGTAACGAGTGGACCCTATGAGTTATTGGGGGATTCGGTGTAGGAGTAAGAGGGCTTGCAAAACAAGGGGGTTTTGCCTAGTGCGGTTGAATGTGTTAGATGTGATGGTTTAGAGTTGCGCGGTGTTGACAAGACTGTGTGAGAATGTTCGAGGGAACGTGAGATTTGTATCTCGAGTTAGTGGGAATGATACCTGTATGTTGGTTCGTGTTTTGGGCCTTGCTAGATAGTGAGTCCGTGGTGACCCCCTTGGTTATATTGGGGTAGTGTTCGTATTGTGTTTGGTTATCCATTGTTGGGTGTGGGTTGTGAGTGGATGCTGGCAGCATTCTTTGAAGGACGAGCAATTCGTGTTCTAAAGTAATGAGTATAGCGCGGGTCAAAGTGGTCCTTCGTATTCGGGATGTTGTGATTGAGGTTGACCATGTCGGTCTTCGGTCTAGGAAGTGAGCAGGCTTGCTAGATAACCATGGCGGGGGATGGCGATTCCCTTAGACGCAGTGTTGAGGCGGTTAAATTTTAGGAGATCCGATGAGGTTCCAAAATTTGTGGTTTGTGTAGAGAACTCCGCAGTTGGGGTTAGTGGTTTGAGTGGCACATCAGTGTGTGGATTACTGAGTGTAGAGTTTATTGAGTTGAGTAGTCAGCTTGTCGGTATCGGGCTTTGGGTTGGCATTGGTCACCTTGAGTTTTAGTCTTGATGTTCTAGACTTTGTATGTTGATTAGGGAAAACTGAAACTAATCGAACATGTTTTGTCGTTGAAGCTGACGGTAGGAATAATACATCTAATATATGTATTGATTGATCATTGTGAATGATTGGCTTTTATACATTATGTATGTATGGTGTTTAGTTTGATATTGATACAGCACTATAATGTGTATCATTTGTGTATTTCTGAGCCGTGTTTATGATTATAAAATGGTTAAGTAGAGGGAGGCGGGATAAAATTGCAAAAAAAAAACATGAATTTCTTATGCCTTATGTGTTGATAGTACGGTTGTTATTTCTAATAACTATCATTATAAAAATGTGGTGTTCCGTGTTGGTTGTGGCATCACCATGTGAGTGATGGTTGTTGATAGTGTTATTTTGGAAAGAAATGGAAAACAAAATTTTCCTAGTGTTTGGGGCTATCTAAATGCGTTGTTGAAAAAGGGGATTTAATTCAAGGATTTTAAAGAATTCCAGATTAATCTTTTGGGCAAATAAACTGTGGATAACTCTGCGTTTTGGGTAACAGCGTATTTGTGAAAAATGTTTACAAAGCTTTTGAATTTTCGTGTGGAAAATGCAAGATTTACCCCAGAACGTTAACGTTGAAAATTTAAACATCTTTGAGAAATGCCTCTTGAACAAGAAAATGTTTTCTTATTATCTACTCTAAAGATTTGCTTTGGTCGTGTTGTTGAGTAGTGACTTAGCTTGGAGCACTAGTCGATAGAACAGTTATACTTACCGGGTGTTCGAAATTTCATTAGTGTTATCTATTTGACCTTATGTGCGTGAAAGTGATGTTGATCTACTGTCGTGAGGACTCCTCGAGGGGATTATTGATATAGCTTATATGCTTATCTGTTGTAGTAGTGATATAGCTCATATGCTTATCTATTGAAAAGTTGGTTTGATTTGATATAACACTAAAATATATATCATCATCGTTTGTGAAGTATGGAAGTAGTTTATGTGTTACTGATACAACACGAAAATGTGTATCCACCGTGAATTTTGAAAATGTTCTAGTGATGAACTATAATCTCATCAAAATGTTTTGGCCAGAGTACTGAGCCCTGTTTTCAAACCCCAAGTGGAACAAGAAATGAAAAGTGAATTGTAACGTAGACTTGGTTGTCTTGGAATTGAAATAAGATGTAAAATGGAATTGTAAGTATCGACCATCTATCAGTTGCTAATCTTTTAATCATTGGTCATAGTTGGTTTAGTATATCTCTGCTGGGCTGTGACTCACCCTATATGGGAACATCATTTTCAGGTACAGGTAGCATGCCACTTCTGAGGACATAGCTAGGGAGGCTAGGGGCAAACTTACTTTTGTTGCCTTATTCTCCTTTTGATGTATTACATGTAAATTCAAGCCAAGGGCTTAATGTGTAACCGAGTCAATACTCTCTTTTGTAACCAAGTGTTAACTTGGAAAGCTGTAAGCCTGTAGGGCATTTACTTTCGTTGTTAACGTGTAATACTTTTGTAATGAAGTACTCTAATGAATTGAGGAAATGTGGATCTTTTGTATATAAATGTATGTTTATATTGATGGGTTTAATGTTATTTTTTGAGGGCGTTACAGAACCTACAATTTTAAAAAGCTTTGAATAATATCAAGAAGAAATGCACTACAATCGCAGCATAATCATTACAAGTTTAAAGTTGGCTTGTTTAATTGATTACATTAGTTCTTCTACAGTATTCCGCATCAGACCAACAAGTCTCGTCCTTCACTTGACCCTTGGGCCATTCAGGGTTCAAGGAAACAGCAGCTCCAGAAGATACAACCACCACTCGTTTGACATTTGCTTCAGAACATGCCTTGAGTACATTAAGAGTACCCTTCACAGCAGGCTCAATTAGTTGCACCTGCACTAAAGCTATTAGATACTATGGAAAGGAAAATCTAAAGCAGTTAAGGAGGTTAAAATTAAATTGAAGGCTTACAATGCTCTCTATCTTAAGTTGTAAGGATGGAGAACAAGATACATAAGATGAAGAGAAAGAAAAGACGGAGACCAACTTCAGGTAACAATTTGGATATTATCTATTATGTCACCAATGAATGGTGGGACTCATTAAACCAATGGGTTGGTGACACGACAAGTGGTATTCAAAATTTGGTACCCAAAAGTCACCATAGGATAACTTGCTCAAAAAATGAACCCATGTAGGCAACCCCAATTAATTGGGACAAAAGTTTTGTTGAGATGAATTAAGAATTGAACAAAACACAAGCATGGTCGGACCGGTATCATATTTTCACGATTCTTATTCTCGTAAGTTGGCTTAGTCCAAAAAAGTAGCAAAATCAAATAGCTAAACACATTAGATAAAGAGATGCAATATCCAGAAATTCTCGCTGCCATAAGAATCCAAGTTACAGTAGAATTGAAGCCATATGGGCTGATGCAGGCAGAATGTATGGACTATGAAGCAGTGTTACGTGGTCATCCTAATATCAAGATGAGGACAATATGCAACACTCCACATAGGTTCAGAAGTCAATATAGATATAAAATTGCCAAGAAGAATGCAAATGATTTCAATAAACAAGTTCAATCACAAGGTATTCTTGCCTCCGGATCTGGCAAGCTGCCGGGGGGAACTGGACTGGTGACATGGAACACTCCGACACACCCCGTGATGGCTGCAGAAAGAGAGTTGTAATCCAGCAGGTCCACCTTGAAGAGTTTAAGCTTGTCGGATGCTTTTTCAAGTTTTTTCAAATGAGAATTTTTCTCATCATCTGCAAGATAAATTGAATAGGATTTACAGAGCCATATGAAAATCTTTTAGATCAAGGAATATATGTTCATAAACATGTTATTCGAAATTAAAACAGAAAGAGCATCAACTAGAGAGAGAGAGAGAGCTACAATAATCATATTAGTTGAATAGATGATGAGATTGGTATGTAAGAGATATAACAGTGGCTAGAGAGGCGATGGAAAGTTGAGGAGAGGGATAGGGATAGGGATAGGCATAGGCATAGGCATAGGGATTGGGGGGCTTACGAGGATCTCTGACAGTTCCATGGATGGAGTAACCATTAGAGAGAAAAAGCTTCACCAACCAAGAAGCTACGTACCCTCCCGCCCCTGTCACGCACACTGCCCTTCTTTTCCGCCATTCACTCGCTGAGTCAACCACTACTACGCCCTACAGCCAGCACAACCGACTCATACTGCCCTCACCTCATCAAAAACATACAGTCTTACAAAAAAGATAATTACGAGTCGGTTACGGAGGCTTTTCCCATATTAAGTCCATTTTGTATCTTAATTTTTAAATTAGGTTTAGTTTGGACGAAATTCTCAAATTAAGTTAAAGTGCTATTACAAATCGCATTTTCACTGTTTGGAGCTGAAAAGTTAATGAACATTGAAAGCGCTATTCGAAATCGCGCTTTTAATTAAGAAAGCGTGCTTTCACGCTTTTAACATAATTTTTTTTTTGAAAAAAAACGTGGTTCCAAATCACGCTTTCACTGTGCATCTCGTTTTAATTTGTGTTCTGAACGCTTTCACTGTGCATATAATTTTTTTCTTTTTCCTGAAGAAAGCACTATTCGAAATCACGCTTTTACTGTTCACTACAAGAAGCGTGGATTGAAACCACGCTTTCACTGTTCATTTAATTTAATTTTTTTTTTCTTCTGTTGTCATTGTTTTGGTGGTAATGTAATTCATTAAATTTTTTTTTGTCTTTTGCCTTTGTTTTGGGTTAGAAGATGTAATTGAGAAATTTTTTTTGTCTTTACTAAAGTCGTTTTCAGGTAATTTTTTTTTGTTTTTTGTTTTGGGTTAGAAGGTGATAATGTAATTCATAAATTTTTTTTGGCTTTACTAAAGACGTTTTCATGTTAAATTTTAATTTTTTTCTTTTGTCTTTGTTTTGGGTTAGAAAGTGTTATTCAGAAATTTATTTTGGCTTTACTAAAATCGTTTTCATTTAAATATATATATTTTATATTTTGTCTTTGTTTTGGGTTAGAAGGTGATAATGTAATTCAGAAAACCGGTTTAATAAAACCATTTTCTAGCCATTTTCATTAAAAAAAAAAAAAATCCTTTTGTCTTTGTTTTGGGGTAGAAGGTGATATATATGCTCTACAGTTCGAAGCACACCCACACACTGTGCAGTTCGACGAAGGGTGAGACGAGAAGAGCACCGCAGAGTAGCCCAAGAAGATGAAGCCCACCGCGAGAGCAGCAGTAAGAAGGAATAAAAGAAAGATCTCAAATTTTGGTGATGTATTTTTTACATACGAATGGTACTTTTTCCGTTTTTTGCTATGTAATGTAACTTGTATGTAATTTGAATTCTGATTACAAACAGGAACTTATGTAATGTAAATATTGGGTTGGAGTTGATGTTATTGTGATTCAATTGGTTTCGCTTATTTCATAAGACTGATGTTGTGCAATGAATCAACGAATGTAAAAGTTATTTGTTTTATTCAATTGGTAGTGTAGTTTTTTGTAAGAATGAGAACGTTATTTGTTATATTCAATGAATAATGGTTACATTATTGGGTTCTCATGATTGAGAAGATGAACAAGTTAAGAGAATGTGTATTTCTCCTAAAATAAATTTTGTCAACATTTTTGTAATAAAACTTAATACATAATATACGAAGTCACTAATTTACTAAATACTCATACAGGCATGAAAACAACATAACTAAAGTTGCAAATGTAACATTTTTTAGTTACATAGGTAGTACAGACATAAGTCTCCCACAAAAATACATTCTGGACACCATGAACTGAACACACAATACATACATCCTAGACACCCTGAACTGAACACACAATACATAAACATAACAGTTAGACAGACAATTATTAGGCAGACAATCTGACAAACTCATTACGAAAACACTTAGTCTAACACAGACATTACATATTAATGCATGACCTAATATTGCCGAAGTGTAGACATTAACACCTAATTCACGCTTAAATCGGCAGGTGGCTCAGAGTCTGAATAATCCGAAAGCTCAGCGTCAGAGACAAGTTCAGATCCTCCATAATACCCTTGATAGCCGCAACATTTGGTTCTGTTCTGTTCTTCTGGGCATCCTTCTTAACTATGTATAGCTGCATATTGCGGGCTAACCTACGGCGCATTTGAGAAATCTCACGTTGTAGTCTTTCACATAGCCGATCAACATTATCAGGATCTTCCTTTTGGATCTCAACAGAACGTGCTTTTGGCACCTTCAGTCGATTTTCCTGACATAATCTTTCCATTTGCACTCACTCTATAAATAGTGCGGGCCACTTCAGAAGTCAAGCGTCTGCTAAACCATATCCTGTTTGATTATCTGATGGATCCATACACGAACCTCCTTGAACTGGATAAGACTTGGGCATCAAAAAATGTCGCTTCCCAAACCTATCACGATAACCACAAGCATAATCTAAAACAGGTATTCCCACTCCCTCCCATGAATCATCTTCAGCATCGCCACGTCCCCTTCCCCTTCGTCATGAACTATCACCCCTTTGCAAGTTCCTACCACCTCTGCGATTCCCACTCCCTCCCATGAATCGTGTAGCCATGCTAATTTTTTAAAACAAATGAATGATAATTTCGTAGGGCGAAATGAGTTGTAAGGTTGTGTCTTCACCTTTAGTCGTTTATATAATTGGTTATGAACGACTTTAGAAAGATGCCTCCGCATGACAATCCCACATATACGAACAAGGTATGAGTTGTCACTAGAATGAAAAAACAGAGAAACACAAATACTGTGCACCAAGTTACGTGACTTGACAATCCATCTGCATATACCGACAAAATAAGGGCATGCTCACTGTAAGGTAAATCAGTGAATTCACTGTTGCCATGTGACTTTCTGAATTGAGAATCGCACATATATCAATAAGAAATGAGTTGTCACTGTAATAAAAAAATCAAGCAAAAAATTGAGCAAACCAAAGCCTGTGCACCAAGTCACATGACTTCACAATCCATCTGCATATACAGACAAAATAAGGGCATGCTCACTGTAAGGTAAATCAGTGAATTCGTTGTTTCCATGTGACTTTCTGAATTGACACTGTAATAAAAAAGGAAGCTTATGTAGGCAATGTTGTGTTTCACTTAGCTATGCATCATTCGTTGTTACGACCAACTTTTTGTATTTCATTGAAAAGTATGACTATTTGAATTTTTGTTGTCATTTGAAATTATTCTAAAAATAACTTTTGAATATTGAATTTGTAATATTTTGGGAAACATTTACAACCTCAACTTTTGAAATAAACTTTAAAATAATGGTGGATCTTGTGAGTGAAACGTGGGTTACGTAGGAGTATTATTCAGTGAGATTGGACAAAATTGAATAAGTCATACAAACATTTTAAATCATAGTGTAAGTTTTGTATGAAATTATTATTTTTCTCATTGAGTTGAAAGAACTCGATTGATTTGGACAATATATGTAACGCCCCAAAATAAATACATAAATCCATCACTTTAGACATGCATTATACAAAAGAAATTAACCATTTCTATGCATCAGAGTAGTTCTTACAACAGTATTACATGTTAACAACAAAAGCAAATGCCCTATAGGCTTACAGTTTTCCAAGTCAACACTTGGTTACACAAAAGAAGAGTACTAACTCTATACAAAATAAGCCCTTGGCTTGATATACATGTAATACAAATTTTAATGGTTTTTCTTTACAATTA